AAACGTGATGGTACCCCTAGGGCTCGAGGCCAAAACTAAAAAATAATAATTAAGAAATTATTGACATGTCTATTTGGCATGATAAGTTAACAAAGGATTGTATATGTAAATATAAACATCCATGTCAAATTTTGCAACTTTTTTTGATGGAATCAAAATTTAGCCAAATATTGTGATGGTACCCCCAGAAGCTTGAGGGTAAAACTAAAAAAATAATAACTTAGATATGATTGACAAGACTTTTTGACATGATGCTTTTACAAAGGATTTTACGTTCAAATAGAAACATCCATGTCAAATTCGGAAACTATTTTGATGAATTTAAAATTTGGCCAAAAAAACGTGATGGTACCCCTAGGGCTCGAGGCCAAAACTAAAAAAATAATAATTAAGACATTATTGACATATCTATTTGGAATGAAAATTTTACAAAGGATTGTATATGTAAATAGAAACATTCATGTCAAATTTTGCAACTTTTTTTGATGGAATCAAAATTTAGCCAAAAATTGTGATGGTACCCCTTGGAGCTCGAGGACAAAACTAAAAAAATAATAATTTAGATATTATTGACAAGACTTTTTGACTTGAAACTTTTACAAAGGATTTTAGGTTCAAATAGAAACATCCATGTCAAATTCAGCAACTTTTTTGATTAATTTAAAATTTGGCCAAAAAACGTGATGGTGCCCCTAGGGCTCGAGGCCAAAACTAAAAAAATAATAATTAAGAAATTATTGACATGTCTATTTGGCATGAAAAGTTAACAAAGGATTGTATATACAAATAGAAACATCCATATAAAATTCTGCAACTTTTTTTGATGGAATCAAAATTTAGCCAAATATTGTGATGGTAACCCTAGGAGCACGAGGGTAAAACTAAAAAAATAATAATTTAGATATTATTGACAAGACTTTTTGATATGAAGCTTTTACAAAGGATTTTACGTTCAAATAGAAACATCCATGTCAAATTCCGCAACTTTTTTGATAAATTTAAAATTTGGCCAAAAAACGTGATGGTACCCCTAGGGCTCGAGGCCAAAACTAAAAAATAATAATTAAGAAATTATTGACATGTCTATTTGGCATGATAAGTTAACAAAGGATTGTATATGTAAATATAAACATCCATGTCAAATTTTGCAACTTTTTTTGATGGAATCAAAATTTAGCCAAATATT